TGTATAATATTGCCGGCTGCAGAATAAACTATGGTGTGTTTTATTTATTTACTGTTCGGGTACGAGGCCCATCGGTCATAGACCACCAGCAATAAACACGTCTATGGTTGTTTAATAACATATTTTAAAGATTAATTGCTGGGTTTGCAGAGAGGATGAGAAAGTTAATATTATCTTTGTTTTGTGTTGGCGTTTGGGGAGAGGAAAATACTTAACATTAATTTAATTTGGAAAAGAAAATGCTTTGTAAAAATCCATTTTGTGCTTGGATTTAACAGTCACCTTTATATCTTCATTCTAAAACTTAATATAAAATCTTAGAGATATGACATATTGCGTGACAAAGCTCTGGCGATCTCCAAACTTTATATGTTATGTGCTACATTGTAATGTGATGAATAGTGCGAAATGCCTGGCTTTTCATTATCAGTCATTTTATATGCAGCCAGGAGGTCACAGCTGATAATCACACAATCTCTTGTCTCTGCACATCCCTCTTTTTTTGAAACATTGTGCTGTTTGCTTTGGGCCAAGTAACCATAGTCTTCAAAAGGTGAACTATACTCCAAAGCACATCTTGGTTACGTGCAATACAGACGCTTGGTGAAATCTCAGCTTTACGTGCTCTCTTGGCTCCAGAGAGGGATGTTCAGGGGATGATCAAAATTATTCCAAGCCAATATGGGATTCCTTAATTTGGAACTGGGCTACCTGTTTCCCCAGCTTGCAGTATAGTTGTAGCCCAATAACAATTTATGTGCTAAATATCACCTGACGCAAGACTTTGTTCTCTGCCTTTCTGTCCACAAGCTTTCATGAAAGGGACACCATAGGCACCCAGACCACGTCATTCCAATGAAGTGGTCTGGGTGTAGTGTCCTTGTTCCATTAACTGCCCCTTGTAGTTTAATTCACAACTTTCCTAACACTATAGTGTTTCTTTAAGTAACCTTACCAGCTCGCCTATAATCTTCTGGACACCTGGCTAGCTCCTCCATTCCCCCTTCCAACGCCCCAAGTTGCTCTGTGATGGTTATCCCAGCCTACCAGCTGTTATTTCTATGATATATTTTAGACTGAATATTTTATTTCTTGTCTCCGGCTTCTATACACTACCTAAACCTATATGCAATGTGGCAGGTCACCTATGCATCGGATTTGGTGGGGCTGAAGGTTCAAGTAGCAGATAAAAATAGAAATATAAAAATATAATGGATGGGAAGTGGCTCAACACTTACGTGAGGGATCCCCTTAACCCCCACAATACAAACACACAGAAAAAAATATAAGTGGAGCTCTAATATACCTGAGTAGTGGTGAAGATGGTAAATATCAAACACAAATCTTTAAAGAATATTAAAAAATTACAATAGTGCAGACGGTACAGGATATATTATAAAAAAACGGATGGAAAATCTTAAACTTACAAGGAGAGAGCCAATAGGTCACCTGGCTCTAGTGTATAGCGCCTTTGGATCCTTTAGGGAGATCTACAGCCCTTTTCCATATCCTTGAGCCCTAGATGGTCGTCAGAAGGGAAATGCAGGAAGCTTTAGTGTATTGGCAAATAAGTATATTTATTGATAATACTAAAATAAAACAAATCCGATCAAATGATCAATAGACTTAAAACAGATGAATATTTAGTCTAATTTAGTCCAAAACGCGTTTCGCCATAAATTGGCTTCCTCAGTTAGTGAAGTGTAGTTAATAATTCCATCTTTTATTTCATCTTAATTGTAAAATTACCAGCATCTGTGTACTCCGGAAGTGGGTTCTATGGAACGCACGTTCCGTCTTCATGGAGCGCACGTTCCATCCGTCTTCTGGCAGTGAAGCCCAGTGAGATGTGGCTTGCATCTCAATAAGTGATGTCACTTCCTCTTTCTTTGTGGAACGCATTTCTGACATACTATCCTACTATTGACATTCCTAACATATAGAGTTCGTAAATATTTATTCTACCTCATTTTTGCTATATATTACCCTAGTTGTTTTTATTTGATATTTTTTACTATATTGGGATTCATCCCCCCTCCCAGTTTCTATTTCTGATACACACCGTTATTATTATTATTATGTATTAGTCTGGTATCTTCCTTTATTGCCCACTTTATACTTTACGATAGATGAGGTTTTTCACTTTTATTCACATTTTATGTATTTTTATATGTCTCATATTAATTTTATCTATGTTCTATTATAATAAGTTTCTCATTTATCAGTAATCACAATGATTTTATGTGTTTGTTTTTCCCATTTCTTCTGAATATGTACACTATACTTTGTGTTTTGGACTGAATGGAACGCATATATGTTCCATTAATAATATCAATGCCTTCCAAGGGACACTTCTGTTATATAGTATGTCAGTGGAACACAGAACTGCGTTTCACAAAGAAAGAGGAAGTGACATCACTTATTGAGACGCAAGCCAAATCTCACTGGACTTCTCTGCCAGAAGACGGACAGAACATGCGCTCCACAAAGACGGAACGTGCGTTCCATAGAACCCACTTCCGGACTAAACAGATGCCGGTAACTTCACAATTAAGTTGATATAAAAGACGGAATTATTGGCGGAGCAAAGCAGCACACCGAGCTAGACGCCATCTTACAGAGCTCCGAGCACGCCACCGACAAAAACGAAAACTCCGGAGCCGAGAGTGCTACTGACACAGAAACACCATTATCGGAAAGGGGGAAGCGGACCCAAACAGGCAGATGCCATTCATTTTCCCCTCAAGTGGCAAAAACCGACGGCAGGGAAGCCGAGCCTACAGTGCGGGATTACCGTGGGAACCGAGTGCGGCATATTGGGGCTTTCTGGACACAGGAGGTAACCGACCCACAGTAGACCGCGCTCTAACCCCTAAAGGGACAGACATGGTGCAAAAAAAACCCACTCAACCCACCCCGAAAGACATGCAAGATATTGGGCAGATGCTGACATCCCCGAGCGAACTAGGGGAATGGCCACCACGCAGCCTGACACTACCCCACCGCCACCAACGGCGGGAATAGTAATAGCCGAAGCCCCAGCCATAGCAAATGGAACAGCCCCATCCACAAAGCAAGATATACATAACTTACTAATGCACATATTCACGACTGAACTGAATCTGGTCAAGACAGAAGTGCAAGCAGTGGCTGCTAGAGTACAAGCCACTGAGGAAGACGTGCAGGACCTCAATCAAGGGATGACTACCCTGAATGACTCTGTCCAGCAACTCAGAGCACTGCATGCCTCATTATCCACAAGAGTGGACCAGCTGGACGACAGAGGAAGGCAACGCAACATCAAAATCAGAGGGATAGCAGACTCGCTCACACCGGACGAAATTCCCCACTTCACACGGCGTTTAGCCGTAACCATTCTGTCGGCGAAAGCAGCCAAGCAATTCGCCTTCGACGGGGCATATCGTATTACGAAATCTGCACAAGCGCCCACCACGACTCCTAGAGACTTGATCCTGTGCTGCCAAACGGTCGCAGATAAACAGAAACTCCTCACGGCACTAAAAGGGAAAACCCTACTCCAATATGAAAACTACAATATTACCTTCTTCCAAGACCTCAGCAGGCCCACCTTAATGTGGAGGAAATCGATGAAACCCATTACTGAAGCGCTACAAACTGCGGGACTCGCCTACTACTACTACTCGCCTCGACTTACCCAAGTTCCCTCACAGTCATTAACGATGGGAAGACCCTGCGAGCAACAAGCCCCACAGAGGGTCCGGCCTTTCTCCAGTCCCTGGGCATACCCGTGGCAGCCCCATCAACGAGCTCCAACCATCAATGGGACATTTCAGCAATCACTCCCTTTGTACCAGGGAGAGAACGGGACTCTCTGACCTAAACTCTAATACCCAGAAGGAAAACAACTGTTTAGCTTAAGTTTATTCTGATTATTCTTATACTTCTACGTTTTGAGTTTTGTCACTTGTACATGAACAATCATACATACTTACCAATGACAACTAAGTGCTGCTACAGACACAAAAACTGAGGCTACCTGTTTCCCCAGCTTTTGAGTAAGGCCATCTTCAACTCTTTGTTCAGTTTTTTTTGTTTGTGAACTACTTGACAAATTCCGTGATAATTTAATGTCAGGAACTGTCTTGGCAAATATTATAATTTTAAATGAAATTTGTTGATATATTTATTTTAGTTTTTATATGAACTATTACAACAATTTACCCTTAAAGATAGATATTAACACTCATACTGGCATAGGGTGATAAAAGCTTACTCCCCCGGGGGCCCCCCGATACCCCATTTTTGCCTCTTGGGTTAGAGGCTTCTGCGTTACCTGGGCGCTACACTACCGCCACAGACACATAGACTCACCTTCTAGCATAAACTGCGACAGTGGCAAACACTTCGCCTACCTACCCTGGGACATCACTAACCTACTAATAGCTACTGTTTAAAAAAATTAGGTGAACATGTTAGACACCATTGTATGCAAATAGTGAATGTGCTTACCAATTGTGATACCAATTGTCATACTTCACCTGCCAAAATAAAGAATAAAAAATAAAAAAAGACGGAATTATTAACGACATTTTATTCACCAACTGAGGAAACCTGTTTACAGCGAAACGCGTTTTGGACTAAATTAGACTGAATAGTCACTTGTTTTAAGGCTATTGATCATTTGATCGGATTAGTTTTATTTTAGTATTATCAATAAATATACTTATTTTCCAATACACTAAAGCAGGTATAGGCAACCTTTGGCACTGCAGATGCTTTGGACTACACCTTTCATGATTCTTTGCCAGCATTATGTGTGTTAGAGCATTATGGGGGATGTAGTCCACAACATCTGGAGTGCCAAAGGTTGTCTATCCCTGCACTAAAGTTTCCTGCCTTTCCCTTCTGATGGCTATCTGGGGCTCAAGGATATGGAAAAGGGCTGTGGATCTCCCTAAAGGATAGCCATAGCAAATGGAACAGCCCCATCCACAAAGCAAGATATACATAACTTACTAATGCACATATTCACGGCTGAACTGAATCTGGTCAAGACAGAAGTGCAAGCAGTGGCTGCTAGAGTACAAGCCACTGAGGAAGACGTGCAGGACCTCAATCAAGGGATGACTACCCTGAATTACTCTGTCCAGCAACTCGGAGCACTGCATGCCTCATTATCCACAAGAGTGGATCAGCTGGACGACAGAGGAAGGCAACGCAACATCAAAATCAGAGGGATAGCAGATTCGCTCACACCGGACGAAATTCCCCACTTCATACGGCGTTTAGCCGTAACCATTCTGGACCTATTGGCTCTCTCCTTGTGAGTTTAATATCTTCCATCCATTTTTTATATTATATCCTGTACCATCTGCACTATTGTATTTTTTTTATATTCTTTACAGATTTGTGTTTGATATTGATCATCTGCACCACTTCTCAAGTTGCAGATAGTATGGGGTCTACCGTTAAGCCGGAGGCAATACAGGGAGTGCAGAATTCGCTTTCATTAAGGGTATACGTTGCTTGTGTGAAGTGCATAACTTTGCATTTTTCAACATTAAATTTCATCTGCTATTTGAGTGCCCAGTCCCCCAGTCTATCTAAATCCCTCTGCATCAAAGTAATATCTTGCTCACATTGTATTATTTTACAAAGTTTTGTGTCATCTGCAAACACTGAAACATGACTTTCAATGCCGTCTTCAAGATCATTCATAAACATGTTAAATAGAAGGGGTCCCAGAACAGACCCCTGAGGGACACCACTTGCCACCTCTGTCCAGCTTGAAAATTTACCATTAATGACAACTCTTTGTACTCTGTTTTTAAGCCAATGTTCTACCCAATAACAAGCATTTTCATCGAGACGGATTTCCTTGAGTTTCATGCTGCTTCGGTCCCCCTTCTGTACCCCACTTATATATTTTACATTCTAATCAATAAAACATGATTTACAACAGTATTGTACATCCTAGACTCTGACCTTGTTTTGCGCAAGGCCATCTTCAACTCTCTGTTCAGTTTTATTTTGTTTGTGAACTACTTGACAAATTCCGTGATAATTTCATGTCAGGAACTGTCTTGGCAAATATTATAATTTTAAATGAAATTTGTTGATATATTTCTTCAGTTTTTGTATGAACTATTACAACAATTTACATCTTTGATTCAAACTGACAGCAAAATATTTGCTTCCTGTTTAACTCATTTAAGATAAAATATGAACTAACACAGCAGATCCATCTAATGTTGGATAAACAAATGTATTGGTTACATAGTAAGAAACTTGAGTTGGCCAGCAACGCCCACTGTACGGGTAACGGGCTGCAATGTAAACTGCATTATGTAACTTTCCAAGATGTGTTTTATACTTTATATCCTTCATTTTTTCTTTGTTTTCCTTTTTAAAAAGATATTTTTTCTAACTGCCCACACTCATAACCATGAACTTGGTTTAACTAAAATATTGAATTAAGGTAAAAAATAATGTTGATAAATTGCCAATTACTGTTAAACAATAGATTTTCCGCTACTGGAAAGAATGGATGATTGTAACGAATTGCATGCCTTGGTATATCTAAAAGGCATATTTTTCAACAGTCCATTAGCATACCTCCCAGCATTTCCCATGGACAAAGAGAGACCCTTTAATTTTAGGGGTGTGGCCAGAGGCGGGACGGTCCTGAGAAGTTTTAGGTGACTTACTAATTGAAACGTGTTAGCTTTAGTGTACTGATAATCTTAATTTTAGTAATGACATGTCGGTACTCCGGTACATGCAACTAATACACTATCTCCACTCACTTCCGCACAAGGAAAAGCTGCAAAGGGATTTAACATGGTTTGAAGACCTTTGCCTACGAGGAACATCGATAGGAAAAGCTATTTCGATCCTCTACCAGTATTTACTGACTAGCCCCACTGCAGAGAATAACACCTTCCAGCGGCAATGGGAGAGTGCTATGAACAAAACATTCACACCGACCCAATGGGACAAAGCCCTGATATGGCAACATAAAAGCTCCTCCAGCTCACATTACCAAGAAGTTAACTATAAATTGATCTCCATGTGGTATAGAATGCCGGTATTACTTCACAGGATTTTCCCCACAACATCGCCAACATGCTGGAGATGTCAGGATGAAAGAGGAACCATTAGACACATCTGGTGGGAATGCAACCACATCATACCATACTGGAACCAAATCAAATCGGACACTCAACTGATCCTCGGAGACGACACTGAATGGTCAGAGGAACTGGCCATGCTACACATCTCTTCACAACCGCTATCCAAATATAAAAAAATCGATCCTGCGTCACCTGCTGAACGCGGCCAAATCATTGATCCCAGTGTACTGGAAACAGACGAACACCCCCACATGGGAGGAATGGATCCACAGAGTTGAGGACATTAGGGCGGCTGAAGCGCTCCAAGCGGAACTGGCGGGTAGAGGTGCAAAATGTGCAGAAACATGGATGCCGTGTTTCACCTTCCGAGCGAGCGCTTGGGGGGGGGGGGCGCAGCTCCATCAATAAAACCATATTATAGGACACACCCCACAAACACCCTCTCATGCTAGAACACATAGGCATCCGACTGAAAAGCGCTGACTAAACCACACACTCAGGTAGAAAAACACCACAGATGACAACAGCCAAAAGGAAAAACAGGAAAGAAACGAATGGTGACAAATAACTGGAACAATGCTACACCCCAACACACCTGACAGACCACACTCAAACAAATGACTTATGGACGAGAACCTGACTAACCCCACATGACACCTTATGCCACTATAACACAGGACGATAGCAGCTAACTAAGATCCCAAGAGACCCAATACTAAATAGTGAATCTGGGTCAACTGGCTACCAGACATGATAAACCCAACTCCCTGACACACACAGAGCAAACTCTCACTCCCCTCGAAAGAACTCGCGGAAGACTCACACTCCCTGTCCCCATAGACACATGCAACACAATGCATCATCTTCCTCGTAAGCCACTCCTGAAATAACATGCTTCGGAGTCAAGTAGGCTAGTCGGGGAAATAGACCCAAACCTAGACGAAACATACGAAATACAGGGGACGATACCTAGAGGAGGAAGGGAGATCTCTTACCAAAGCAGCCCCAGAGACAAACTTCATAGGCTCTATTACAATACGTAACATGAATACGCCGAGGTCCGAAACACACATATATAATAGCACACAACAAGGGGGGATCCCTAACGCAATATTCTCCCGTCATCGATAAAGTACATTGCCGCATTCCGAACCCATCTGCACTAAACTTCCCACTCGAAACCGGAGTACTACACCTACTTAAACATGAACTCTCCTATCCTTCCGCACAACCCAAAACATTCCTCCACATTTTCACACACACAGACAAACCTCAGCAAGGTTTAACACCTGTAATTGCGCACCGTCAAGGTACTGACAGACGCTAACGCGCCCGCCATTAATCCGACATACGAAGGGACCAGGCGGAAATACACTCAGCTACACACCGCAACAATGTGACAACCTACGCTGAGAAAAATGGATACATCCGAACACTGACACTTATTGTATATCGAAGCTGTATGTAACTTTCACTTGCACGTTTGCCATAATAACGTTCTGTATATATTGTGATGTAACACTCTTAAAGGCCTGCGTGCCTAAATAATCTCTTGTTTCTTTCTACAATAAAAAACTGATTAACCAAAAAAAAAAAATTTTTTTAGTAATGACAGGAGGTGAATATTTTGCTTAAAGGGACATTACAGTCACCAAAACAACTTTAGTTTAATGAAGCGGTTTTAGTGTATAGATCATGGCCCTGCAGTCTCACTGCTCAATTCTCTGCCATTTAGAAGTTAAGTAATTTTTTGTTTTCTTTATGCAGCCCTCTTCCCCTGGCTTTGACTCACACTGCCTGCATAAAAATTGGTTTCATTTCAATGAGGTATTAAAGGACCACTCTAGGCACCCAGACCACATCAGCTTAATGAAGTGGTCTGGGTCCCAGGTCCAGCTAGGGTTAACCCATTCTTTCATAAACATAGCAGTTTCAGTGAAACTGCTATGTTTATGAATGGGTTAAGCCTTCCCCTATTTCCTCTAGTGGCTGTCTCATTGACAGCCGCTAGAGGCGCTTGCGTGCTTCTCACTGTGATTTTCACAGTGAGAGCATGCCAGCGTCCATAGGAAAGCATTATGAATGCTCTTGCCGTGCGTGCGCATTCAGCCGACGGGGAGGAGAAGAGGAGGATCGGAGGATGGGAGGAGGAGAGCTCTCCGCCCAGCGCTGGAAAAAGGTAAGTTTAAACCCCTTTCCCCTTTCCAGAGCCGGGCGGGAGGGGGTCCCTGAGGGTGGGGGCACCCTCAGGGTACTATAGTGCCAGGAAAACGAGTATGTTTTCCTGGCACTATAGTGGTCCTTTAACTTACTTTAGATGGTTTTTGTTTTTTTTTAAATCTCCTGCTCTAAAATTGAACTTAAATCAAACACAGGAGGCTCTTGCAAGCTATTAAAGGACCACTATAGGCACCCAGACCACTTCAGCTTAATGAAGTGGTCTGGGTGCCAGGTCCAGATAGGATTAACCCTTTTTTCTCTAAACATAGCAGTTTCAGAGAAACTGCTATGTTTACCTATGGGTTAACCAAGCCTCTAGTGGCTGTCTCATTGACAGCCGCTAGAGGGCTTCCGCGCTTCTCACTGTGATTTTCACAGTGAGAAGACACCAGCGTCCATAGGAAAGCATTGATAATGCTTTCCTATGGACTGGCTGAATGCACGCGCAGCTCTTGCCGAAGAGGAGGAGAGGAGGAGGAGAGCTCCCCGCCCGGTGCTGAAGAAAGAGGTAAGTTTAACCCCTTCCTCTCCATCCAGCCCGGCGGGTGGGGGCACACTCAGGGCACTATAGTGCCAGGAAAACGAGTATATTTTCCTGGCACTATAGTGGTCCTTTAACAGAGCAGGAGATACAAAACAAAATCTAATTAAACATACGGTGCAAAAAAGGAGGTTAAAAACATTAGATTTCACTTTACATGAAGTGTTTAGGAAGCCTACAGGCTGGCATCTGATTCTACAATGAAATCCAGCATGAGACTGAAAATCACCTTGCCATTCCAGACTTGCATGTGGAACAGCTACTAACAAAGTTTGATCCTGACATCTGGTATGAGCAGGACCAGCTGATCATATAAAGGAGTATCACAAAGGACTCTGGCCTTTAGAAGCTGCATAGCCTGGTAGTGCAGAGGACCCAGGAAAGAGAGGAGTCACACGATACACACCAGAAGTTAAAGGGGAATGTGTGTTGA